TGCATGTGCTATATATTTAAGTTTATTAATATATATTTAAACTAATTCTTGGGTATTCAGCAAATAGAGAAAAAGATATTCGAATCATGCAAAATCCTTGTTATCATTTTATAACACATCCTTTATCCTTTATCAGGCATAAAATTAGATAGATATGAATCCTTAAAAATATTTTTACTGCTCCACAGAGAAATTAATTATTCCATCGTCCTATGCAAAAGCATCCAATGGGAATTCGAGTGCTTCCCACTCGGTGGCCGCTCGCTCCTACGCTGGTGGCCAGGGCACGAATACGGAGTGCTCCTTTGGCACCGAGTGCACGCCGCTGCACGACTGCACGGCAATGATCTATGAGGTGGCGAAGAACTGTTATTACGGCGACAAGTCGCTTTTTTGCGGCGGTGGCGAGGAGATGCCCTACGTGTGCTGCCCGAGCAGTCCACTGGAGAAGAATCAGGTGTGCGGCAAGTCGCTTGTGCAGGGACATTTCTACAAGGGACTCGGCTCGTATCCCTTTGTGGCTCGCGTGGGCTTTAAGCGTAAGTGAATATCAATCAATTAATTGATCGAAATCGGTTGTCTTTAAGTCGCCCATTGCAGACATAAGCACGGGCGCCTTTGCCTATCCGTGTGCAGGATCGATCATTGCCCGGCGTGTCATCCTGACCGCCGCCCATTGTGCGTTGGCCAAGGCCGATGGCCACCGGCTGTAAGTATGCCAATCGTTATGCTTGTGTCCATATATATATCTGTATGTATATGTGTATATCGCGGTGCATCTAAACTTTCGCCTGCAGCTCATCGGTGCGCGTTGGCGAGTATGACACCTCCAGTGATCCGGACTGCGCCAGCACTGGCTTCTGCGCACCACGGTCTGTGAATCATGCGATCAGCCATGTGATTGTGCATCCAGACTATAAGCAAGGCCAATATCATCATGACATTGCGCTGCTGGTGCTCAAAACACCGCTCAATTACTCGGGTAAGCGAGGGGAAAGGGAACAGGGATGGGCCGGGCCGGGCGACTCGGACTGGGGGCTGGTTACGCTTCGCAGTGTCAACGTTAATTAAAAATCGTTTTGCTCTGTGTTATTTTCGACTCGCACTCGCAGCCAAGTTCAATAATGTCAACTACGACTCTTATATATTGCATGTTTGCTAATTTGAGGTTAGGGCTCCATTTCCATTGCCCGCTCCGGGGAGGGGTTCCGGGGTTAACTTAATTGGCCAGCGACAAGCTCTGGTGTGTGTTTAGTCTAGCAAGTAATAGGCTAAACGCGGATCAACCGTTAGCCGGCTACCCAATATTAGTTTTCGATTTTAGACACACTTCAATAAGCTTGGACTTTGGATTAGCCTGGATTTGAGGTTAGGTTTTCGCTGCTTAAAATTCTTCAATTTTACAACAATTTTAAAGGACTACTTTACGTTTACTTTTTATTTATTTATTTATATTTATCATTATTTTCTTTTTTCTATAAAAAGAATTTTAAATTTCAATATGCCCCACAAAACTTTACGAATAAGATCACTATAAAATCTAAATAAGAAGACAATAGACAATTTTTCAATATTATAATCATCTATGAATTATTTTTTAAGTCAGTAATTAGGCTGGATTAAAATTGCCAAAGTCCAGAAATGTTAAATTACAGTTCTATAAAAGAATTTAAAAATTTTAATATGCTCTAGAAAACTTTATGAATATGATTACTATAAGATCTAAAAACAAAGGCAATAGATCTTTGGTTTTTTCAATACTATAATTATCTAACGATTGCAACATTTTAATACAATCCGAATATTGAACCTTTTTATTCCGATTCTTGAAATTTGTATTTTCGGAATGTTCTGTTTCATAAAATAATTTAATTTAGGTTTTACCTCTGAGTTGAGATTAGTTTGAATTGCAATTTCTTAACGAATACCAAGTATATGGAATCTTTAATTGATTTTTAAAAAAATGTTAGTTATACTTACATGTTTTCTTCTTACAATACTCCCATGATCTTCGACCCTCGCCCTGAAATTATAAGTCATATAATTCTCGTTTTGATAGTTGTGATTTGATATACTTGTTTTAAGTTCACGTTCGAGCGTCTTGTGCGAAAGGAATGCATCTTATGCGAACAGCCTTCGGATGTTTTCATCAAAATCATAAATTTAAATTGAATCTTAAAGCGTCAATATCATTGCGATCTGAACAAATAAGGGCCAGCAACGTCGAGGTGCAGGCAACTCGTAAACAGCACATTAGCTACGAAAATCAAAATACCGCAGCCATCAGGGGGCGTTACCTTAATTGTTGGCCAGCTTGTTTGCAGGTGGCTTTATGGCTTTATAATATTTTATAGGCGTACGTGAGCGTGAGGGCAATCAATAAGGCCAACGTTGCGAGCCGGAGACCAGCCTCCTTTTCCTTTAATGGCCGATACGTGTTTGCTGCATTCAAAGTCAAATTGCAACTGAACCGATTTGTTTTGTTTTTCTCTCCCCGTGCCCCGCTGCAGTGGCCACCCAGCCGATCTGTTTGCAGAAGACACGCGCCAATTTGGTGGTGGGCAAGCGGGCGACCATTGCCGGCTGGGGCAAGATGTCCACGTCGAGCATACGCCAGCCGGAGATGTCGCATCTGGACGTACCGCTGACCAGCTGGGATCTGTGCCTGCGCAACTATGGATCAACGGGCGCACTCGAATCGCCCAATTCAATTGAGGGCCAATGGATGTGCGCCGGCGGCGAGGGCAAGGATGTCTGTCAAGGCTTTGGCGGTGCGCCATTGTTCATCCAAGAGAACGGCATCTTCTCACAGGTATACTACCTGTCATTGACTGACTGACATCAATTCGTAGCTGATTGTATTTGTTGCAGATCGGCATCATGTCCTTTGGCTCAGACAACTGCGGCGGACTTCGCATACCCAGCGTATACACGAGCTTGGTCTACTTCCAGGAGTGGATACACGACAACACGCCACCGGAATAAGCCAGCATCCGTGTCCATCAGACATTTCCCTAACCTAAGCGTAAAACTTAAATGTACATCAATATATGGTATTTATATATGTATGTAGAATTGGTATATGTTTTATTTGGCAAAGTAACCTAAACTATTATTTTTCTGATATTCAAACGAGAGCGTGTTCATTTTATGTAAATTGATGGATGGGTTCACATGCGTCGGGCCATATATAACCTACACGCACACATATAATTTAATTGAATTAATTGAACTTTGACACGAGAAACGGGGCCTCCAAACAAATAAAGTTCTCATTCAGGAAAAAAATAATACGTTGCAGAGAAAACAGCTCACAATATTTGTATTTATATTTTCGCAACTTGAGTGAACTTTTACGGAATTTAATTGTACATTTTTATAAAAAAAAACGACTTCCAAAACTATATTTGTCTACGTTCCAAGTCTTAGAGTCAATGCTCAATCAATTATTTCCGGAATTGTCCGGATCGGAGCTATTCGAACTAGATAGCCGTCATAGTTGTGTATGTTCAATCAGAAATAAAAACAATTTTTGATTTATGTAGCATTTTAGGAAAGCGCGCTTAAGTCTATAAAATATAATTTAAGAATTTTTAGATGGAAAATAAAATTTTTTATAATTTATTTTCATAATTCCCTGCTTTACTAATTAACCTGATACTTGTCCGAAATTTAACACACAATTTTTCATCTTTTTATTGCCTTTTACAAAGTTTTGCCCAGCTGGAAAATTGTTTTTGGCTTGAAGCCCTTTTTATTTGTCCATCTTTCATCTCTCTCGTTAACGTTAATAGCTTTTGGTCTCAGCTGCTTTGATGCATGGGAGTTGTCAGTCTTGATTTGTGTGCGTGTGCGTGTGTGTGTGTCATTTGTGTATGTGTGTGTGTGTGTGTGTGCAGGTCCCGTAATGTCGGTGCCATGTGGCTAATTGGAGTCAGCTGTTTTTATGAGCCAAGCGAATCAGCTGGCTGTTTGGCAGGAGCAACAAAAGCCAAGAACAGCAACCGGACAAATGGAAAGGCTGCAAGTGCACTGAGAGAAATTATAACCTTGAGCGAATACTTAATATAATTACATTCGATTTGTGCGCCATTATGTAAGAGCCGTCGGCACAGCTGCAGAGATGACAAATTAACTCTGTACGCTACTCAGTACGTGAGCGACATCGACGACAAATCAAACGCTTTAAATTAATTTACGGTCTGCCTTCGAATGCCGTAAGACACATGACAAAAGGCCCGCACATTCCGCAGGCACGACGCGCAGTGTACCGGGTGCGCGGGGAGGCACTAAATAAAAAATCAATTTGATGGCTCGCACAGATCGTTACGTTCCGGGCTCCACGACAGCCCAGACTCTTTGGCTTCCGCTGGCCAACACAGTCGGCAATTGGTCGTCGAGCCGTCGAGATCGTCGCGAATTCGTCTCTGAAACTTGTCGAGCGTTACACTTGAAATTCAAAGTCACAGTTTCTTTTATTATCAATATAATAAAAATTATGATCGAGCTGAATGTTAAATAAATATAAATGAATTCTTTCAACTTAAACATATAGTGCGTACAAAATTAAATATAACTAAAGTTTTAAATGCTATTTCAAGGTATTGCGAAAACCTTTGAGTTTTGGTATAAATATTTAGTTTCCAAAGAATCTTTTTGCTCCTGTGATGATGGCAATCTGAAATAATGCAAATCCAAATATTTAAAAATTTGTTAAACTTTCAAGTGGCATATAATAAATTATACATTTTATGTAAAGACGCCCGTTTATAAAAAAAAGGGAAAAAACAAATTTTTTATATTTTGTTTTTTTTTAGTGAAAAAGTGTTTTACAACATTAAGATTTTGTTAAATTCAATATTGTTTGATCAATGTAATTCTATTGATCTTAGATCAAATTAATTAAATCACCATATTTAATTTTGTAAATAATACGATCTTCTATATTTTTAGGCATATGAATATAATTAATTATGGATCTAGGTCCATTTGCTTGATTTTCTGAATAGACACAACCGGAAACAGGACGCATTGAAACGTGTTAAAAGCTAATTAGTGCTACGAGTTTTATTAATATTGTTTCTCACATTAAATGTTTATTCTGAAAGCGTTCAATTTATGATTTCGGTGATTTAAAAATTCCTTCAGTATTGCATAAGTTTCATCTCCAAAATTATCCAACTAAAATTTGGGCTCTGAAATAAGTGGCAACCTTACCAATGGAAAGACTCGGCACTTAATGTACAGCAATAATGAAATCAGATCAATTCGTGGCTCACCCTTGAGCACATCATTTTAAATAAAATCGGCGCCCTGATTTTAGGACGAGCTCCAACAAATGTTTTAACTGTGTCAGTGTGTGTGTGTGATTGTTCGTGCGATTTTTTAGACAACTAAGCGAGAAAAAAAAGTGAGCAAAAATTAGCTGAAACCCTTTGTGCGATTTACGTTGGAGATAGTGTGGAAAATATCAGGGTATGAAACTCATAAATTGAGGCTAATCGGGAATTCGGGGGATCGATCGCAAAGGCATCGCGCTAATTAGGCAAACTGTGCTAAAGAGCAAGAGAAACTGCAAGCGTGCACTAACTGTAAAATACACCATATAAACAAACCTGATGATAGAGCAGAAAGCTGAGCAATGTTGAAAAGACGGCGAAGTAAACAGCAGCAACAACAACAAGAACAACAGTCTCAGCAACAACCACAACAACAAGAAGAACAACAGTCTCAGCAACAATTATAAGCACGCACAAGTATCAGACAATTGGCAACATGTTGCCGAACCTTGGGCACATGCTGCTAGTGCTTGCTGCCATCCCCGTCTTGGCCATGGGATCGACGCTACCCAATAAGACGGCCGAGTTCAAGGAGTGCACCAGCATTGACATACGCAACGAGTGCAGCAAAATGAGTCTATTAGACAACTGTACAGTTGTTACTGGCTATGTGATGATAACGCTGATACCCAGTCAAAAATGCAATTATAGCGCTTATTCGTTTCCCAAATTGCGCGAGATCACGGACTTTATGATATTTACTGAAGTGCGCAACTTGACTGGCATCAGGCATATGTTTCCCAATCTTACTGTGATACGCGGCCGTAGGCTGTTCCTTAATTATGCCCTGGGCGTGACCAGCATGCCTGATCTACAGCTGGTAAGTGGACACGGACACAACGAAGATTACAATACATTCCTCATCCAAGCGGGGTGGAGATTAAGAAAAGTGTGAAACTATTTTGTTTACACCCGATCGGCCTAAAACTCATTTTCAAAGATCTTTGTTCAAATTCATTTGAGGGGCGATTCACACTTTTCGGAAAATCCACTCCTCTTTGGTATAAATGGCCAAAGATTTGAGGAATAAAGTTCATTTTCAAAGACTTTATGGAAAATCATTTAAGACATGTTTACACCCGAGCAAGGCTCGGGAATACCTGCTAATAGAGAATAAACATTTTTGTTAATTTCCATTTGCCAATTTCAGCTGGAATTTAAATCGCTAGTGGCCATTCAACGCGGACACGTCTACATCGGTAGCTGCCCCAAGCTTTGTCAACTGGAAAGAGTAAGTAGTTCTGACTGGCCACTTGATATGCTCACTCAGCTATTGCTTTGCAGGTCAATTGGGATCGACTCACATTGAGCGCCGGGGAGAATCACATCGTGCTTGGATCCAACAACTGCACACAACGCGCCACCTGCAATGGCTGTCCATCCAAGTATTGCTGGTCAAATATTACGTGCCAGAGCTTTGAGAATGATAATGTGGTGCATCATGATCGGTGGGCATATGAATTTACTTTTCGATTTAATAGCTATACTCCATACCCATTGGTTGTTAATTTAGTAGTGACTTGTGCTCATCACTATCTTTTATCTGTTACCTGTTTTAAAAACGAATTCATTAATTCGACAGTAGCTACGAACTTCGATAACAGTTTTGACCCTTTAGAAACTAGCATGTTTATTTATATACCCTGAACCCATTTAAATTGGGTAAAAAGGCTATAATGTATTTGTGCAGAATGTATGTAACAGGCAGAAGGAAGCATCTCCGACCCCACAAAAGTTTATATATTCTTGATCAGCATCAACAGCCAAGTCGATCCGTCCGTCCGTCCGTAGGTATGAACACAAGGATATTAGAATCTATAAGAGCTAGAGGCTTGAAATTTAGACCGTAGGTCCTCCTAGTGCCCGCGCAGTACGAGTTTGTTTCTGATAATCGATAACGTGCCCCTTTTCCTAGTAATCGATCAAAATCGATATCGAAATCGTGTTTTTTGAGCAAATATCTCTAGGTTTTAAGAGCTAGAGTCACCAAACTTGACATGTAGCTTCTAAAATAGTATATATATATATATCTTTAATTTTATAGCTATCGCCAACATTCCCTTATCAGCACATAGCTACAAATCAACATTTCATTAAGACCGGTTAAGAAACACAAAAGTTATTAAAAACAATGTGTTTTGGCTGCCCACATGGTTGGGGCAGCTAGCCCCAGCTTCACACATTCATACATGTCTCTATTGAATTCTATCAACAGCATGGCAATTGCGATTGTGTTGTTTTCAATGCTGCTATTTTAATCTCTCCCTCGAGACCTATCAAGGAAATCGTTTTTTTTTTTTAAATTTATTCTTATTCTGCTGAAGCATGAATTGGTGTTGGTAGAGGAGGGTTTAGGGTTCTCCCTAGTCGGTAGCTCCCGACTAGAGGCTCTTACTTGTTAAATAGAGTATATTCAGTTTTTTTTCAGAGCTTACCGAATTAGGTTTTTTTTTCTTGTAATTTTAACACTCAAATATTAGTCTGAGCTTAGAGGCAGCATTTGAAGAAGATATACTAAGTAGCTCTACAAAAGAAGCATTTTGTAGTGAATCACAAATTTAATTGGATTTTTTTTGCTTTATCCCCTTGTTCCGCAGAAACTTAGACGACTGCCACGAGGAGTGCCTGGGTGGCTGCTACAATTCCTCGGCCGCGGGCTGTTTTGTCTGTCGCGGACTAACCAATGCCGGGGTTTGCGTAAAACGTTGCCCGCCCGACAAGTGAGTGAGGGGCTGAGCCACGCCGGCTTGGCGTCTTGTTGATTGCCACTTAGAGTTAGTCCGTTTGCAGGTA